CAGCCTTGCTGGCTGGGGAATTCTGGGAGTTGAAGTCCACACATCTTAAAGTGGACAAGGTTGAGAAACACTGGTCTAGTCCAACCCTCTACAAAATGCCGGAAATCCAATCAAACCACCCACGAGAACGGGCTGTCTAGCCTCTTTTTAAGAACCCCCAAGAATGGAAACCTCGAAGTCTGAATTTAAGTCAAGCGCTTTTTCCTTATTTCTGACTAACCAGAGTCTCGTATCACATAGGCATTTGGGGTTAGAAAACAGTATTTTTAGATCAAGAGAGCGAAATCCTTCTAAACATTCTTAAGGGTTTATTTTTCTTCAGTCACGAAAAATCTTGACTAAATAAAACTGAAGGGAAAGAGAGCAAGTTTAGCACAAGCTCGGTGTCCCACCGCCCCCGCCCCTTTTTCCTCTGGTTATTCTCTTAGTCAAGCCCATAGCAATTTTTGCTTGAAACCCAAGGAAATATCCTGGGACACGGTCATGGTCGATGACTGAAGGGCGATGGAAAGACACATTCACAAAGAACTTTCCACTTCCTCTAAAGAACACATGATGGAAAATTCGGCATGAGCAAGATACAAGAATGCTTTTGCCCCACACCCACTTTCTGGTCACATTGGGATGTGTCTATAATAGCACTCTTTTCACCCCCTGGTCCTTTGAGTTCCTCCTCTATTCTCCCCCCCCCCAATGGGTTACTCCACTCTATTGTAGAATTTTAAGTTCCAGGTTCACATAATAACATACAAAAATACTGTAAAAAAAAAGAGAGCGTGCGAGCTACTTATAAAGATAACCATAGATGTCAACTACCTAGAGAACTGTTCTTGTGAAGGGCTGGATGTTTCAACCGGTATACTTTGGTTATTCCATAAAGAGTTCAGGGTCGTTCCTAGTTCTTCGGAGCCAGGTGCCACCAAACGTTTTTCAAACATGAGAGGCGAGACGTGAGACAAGCAGCTGGATAATCCCTAGCACCATCTCTTTCTAGTAATGGCAGTAGGCTTGGCAATAAAAATTGTCCAACTGCCAAGCCTTAGATGTTGCCACTTCTGGTCTTTAGGCATGAAGCTTGGTGTTATGCATACATCATGTATTTATGCATATAGGAATGTGTATCTGTATATTGAGAGGTGCAAATCCAATACATTCAGAGGGCACCAGATTGGGAAAACTTAAGTATTAATGTACAGTGGCAGGATTGTTTTGCAGGAACCTCACAACAGAGCAGCCAACAAAGCACGCTGGCTCATTTCGCTTGTTGGCATAGATCATGGAAGGAATATATTCCTTTAAAATATATTTATCTTGCTTTTCTACTTAAAAAACACCCAAAGCAGGTTCAGTGCTTCTCTTAAAGGCTATAATAGGGCAGATCATTGGTTCACTGCTTTATTTTCATACCAAGGCAAGCTAAGATTTTGTAAATAAATATTGGCCTTGCTGGTGATTTAGTTTAGTGTATACTATTTCAGCTCACAGCAATCCATCACATTTTCAGCTTTCTCAAGTCTTTCTCAGTCATGCTGGGATGTTTTAGGTCAACCCAGATGAATCTACTCCATTCCGTATACAAGGAACACACTGTGTTATATTACTGAACTAAAGCAATCCCCACCTGTGGATATACCTTGTTAGAACATGCATCTTCCACATTCCTGATTCCTACTGGCATTCAAATTAAAATAAAAAATGAACACTTTTTAATCACAAGCTCTGTTTTTATATTAAAAAAGGAGAAAGACTCATTTCTAGTTCTTTCTATTTGAGATATACTTTTAAAAACCCTATGCGGGCAATACCTGAGAAGGGGTAAACAACCAAAACAGATCAACCAACATCTCCAGTAATTAATGATTATACTATATATAGATACACACACACACCAAACACACACACATACATACACACTTCATCTAAGCAGATAATGAAATCAAGTTTTCTTCATATAAAGTGCATACAATTCTAAGGACTTCTTGAACACCAGGTCCTCCAATATATGAAAGGCAGAAGAGGAAAAATGGAGCATAACAGTTACAATGTTGAACTAGGAAGATCCTTAGCCATGACCACTAGGTGTCACCCCAACTAGGTAGACTAGACTAAGAAAACAGGACTACTTGTATTGTAACAGCTATCCTACCCTACCCAATCCCTATCTTGCAAATCTGAATATGCTTCCCCCTCCCTTACTTAATCTTTGTGTGAACTAGGGAGGAGCTTGTCTGAGGCATTTTCTCAAGCTATTTTCTTGGCCTAGTCTTAGGCTCTGCTTATCTGACCATGGCCTTGATAGCAGCTCTTCCTCCTGTCCTTCAAGGCCATTCCCTATGTCCTCTACATTAGGTGACAATGGACCAGTCATTATCTTTGTACCAGTTACTTCCCAGGATTGCTGGGAAAAATTGAAAAAAGTGTTGTGCACACAGCCATCAGCTCTTGGAAGAAAAGCAGGATATAAATCTAATAAATAAATAAACATAAATATTTTATTAAATGTAAGAATATTTTATTAAATGTGAGGGAAGGGTAAAAACTGGCCTTAGAGGAAGGTGGGAGGTGCTTCCTGGTTCTGCTCACAAGCCAAATCTTGCTTTAGATTAGAAGATCCTGCCTTGCAGATCGAATGGGAAACTCCTTGTATGCGGACCACTGGTGGTCCTGAAGTAGAGAGTACATCAGGGTAAATCACAAATCCTGATACCCAAACATCACAGAGCTACTAAAAACATATAAGACCAGTTACTAAGCCAAGTAATAATAGTAGTAATAATAATAGTAACAATAGTAATATTTTTAAAAATCTGAGTGAGCATAAAAGAAAATAGCACACGTTATCTGCTTAGACATGTCTTTTATTTTTATTTTATTCCATGTATTAAAAAATGGAATGGCAATACTATTGGAAGGCCCAGAATGGCAGAATCAGGTCCTGCAATTGTACAACTTAAGCACAGAAGTGGTGGACATAAGGCAACAGGAGAGAAGGCAGGTGGATCACTGCTCAAATGCTTTCCTCCCTCCCTCCACTCCCCCCGTTATATGATTCCTGAAAGGAGCACACAGGGCAATTCTTTTTCTTGTGAAAGGAAGGGGGATGAGAGGGTGCATGTGCTGAAGATGGAACAGAAGAAAGCATTTGATTTAATCTCCATGGCAACTTCTTTGGAGCCTGTGGCTGAAGCAAAATGTTCAACATTGACAGAAGCCCCTGGATAATTGTTAATAAGATGTTATGTCTTGTGCTGCCCCTACCAAATTATGACTTCTAGAGCAAATATTTAGTGATTTCCAACTGCAAAGGCAATTCACAAAGCAGGAAACAAAGTGACTGGTAATTGAATGGGAGCTATTTGTCCATTCACCTGTTCCATTCCACCCCTTCCCACTTACTGAATGACTCTGTCACATGAGTAGGGAAGAGGCCCGTTTCTTGCCTCTCTGTTCCTTTGCCTCAGGAAGTTCTGGAAAGAAGTGGACACCGACTGCAGGCAATCCATACCCCCCATTTAATGCAAGCTACTAAGAAACTTTATTACCATCTAAGGCAGTCTTTTAAAACTTTAACACTGCCCTACATGTGATGAACTGTAATTCTTGAATAACAAATGTTCTCATCAACTTACTCACCCCATGTAAACAGAAAGAGCAACCAGAAATAACAGGCTTTTTCAGCTGAGAAATAATTGCGGAGTTTAGCTCTGTTCCATCACACAGTATATATTGATGTGACATATGTGCCTATCAACATGGAAGCTAAACATAATTCATCCAACAATGTGGGACTTCAAACATATCTCATTAGCAGTAAAACTGGCTACCATAAATGAAACAATAACATCTCTCCTAACATCTTTCAAAATAACATAGATGGCAGATACTCACAGACATATGTGCAGCAAAGTGCATAATGGGAATGTGTGAGAGAGAAAAATACAATCACTATTGTCGCTGACATAATCAGAAAAGCACCAGAGATGAAGAGAGAGGCAACCAATGAGAGGCAGAGTTCAAAACCATTAGAGTTACAACCCTTAGACTTAGCTTCCACAGACTAGAGGTGTGGTGACCAACAAGTGCAGAAAAAACATAAGGAATGGATCATATTTTGTGGCAAGTGTATACAGCAGGGAAGGAGTGATGGGGCACAAATTTGCTCATTTTGATTTGGTATATGAGGAAGGAGTCTTAAATAAATCACCATTCTCTAGGAGAGAGTGAAGTTTCACTCAGATATTTGATCAATTCTGCAAGGGTAAAGATCAGCGACCCGGAAACCATTAGGCTAAGTTAGAAGACAAAGTAAAAAAAAATGGCAAGGAGCTATTCTCCTCTTAATTCCTCCCCTTAATTTCCTCCCCTTGAAGTCAGATCTGATTCAACCTAAGGTATAGAAGTTCTTTTCCTGTAAACAGCATTCAAGCACTAGTCACTTGTAAACTGGCTGAAGGGAAGAGTGGGCTTCAGACATGGTCCCAACCAAAGGCTCTTTGAAAAACTCTGTGCTTGAAATCTCCAGTTCCCATCCTCCTGGTCTCTCTTACTTGACTACTCCTT